CATCAGGATCATCAGCTCCCTATTTAAAAAGTATTGAAAATTGCCATTTCAGTCCCACTATTCAGTGTCTACAGCCATCTTCAAGACAGAACCCAAGGCCAGGATTCGGGCAAATGTGAGGTTTAGGGATGCGTACTAGGAAAAGGGGTTTGAAGAGACAAGAGGGGGCAGAGGAAGACTATATATAGGAAAGGATGTGGTGTAGTGGGACCTACCTGTAGCAGGAATCTTAAAAGTTCTTTTTAATAAAATCAAACCTGAGCCAGGTATTGGGGTGAAATGCTGGATGGTCAGAGACAGAACAAGCCACAGCTAACCTCACCTGGCCAACTTCTCAGCTGGTCTTGTTTCCTCAGACTGGAAGCCTCTGTGTCCTCGTATCTGAATGGCTCTCAGCTGAAGTGTGCTGCTCAAAACTTAAAAGCTTAACCAGCCAAATGCTTAACCAGCCAAATGCTTCTAGTTCCTGGTCCTCATGCCTTATATATCTTTCTGCCTTCTACCATCACTCCCTGGGATTAAAAGCATGAGTTACCATACTTGGCTGTATCCTTGAACACATGGATTTCTGCCTCTGGAATGCTAGGATTAAAGGTGTGTGCTACCACTGCCTATCCTCATGTTTAATATTATGGCTGTTCTGTCTCTGGCCCCAGATAAGTTTATTAGGGTGCACAATATTTCAGGGAACACAATACCACCACACCTACCCACGGGAAGGTGAAGATCTCTGCCTTCCATTAGCCTGTGTCAGTTCCTGTCTTTGGAGCATCCACACTGGGGTGGGACTGGAGCTGGTTAACCTCCCATAAGGATACTTTCCCCATTTGTAGAGCTGTCTTAGGTAGGGTGGCTCTGACTGTCCCCATGTGTCACTCAGAGCAGCTAGAGACTGGGCTGATGGTCCATCCATGGCAATTTTGTTCAAGAAGCAACAGAGTCTGCACTCTGTTACTTTGTCATTTCTAATTTTCTAGTTCCATGCACTAGTTGCATTAGCATTCCATCTTTCAACAAGAAAAGACGTCCTGAATGAATAGCTATATCTCTCTATATATATCACCAAATACAATAGACAGGACCAGTGAAACTTCACATACACACAAACATACACATGCAGGAACCAATGTACATGTGCATGCACACACTTTGCTGCTCAAAATTGCTGATCATAAAGACCCTTCACAGTAACACGTACCACCATGCCAGACCATGCATGATGCTTGGTTAAGAGTTGAGCATGTTCTATGATTTTTCCATTAATCCTTGAGAGGGTTTTGGACTGGCTAGGACATCGACCTATGCCGGGCCACACATATTATTCAATAGTGGGTTCATATTTAGAATGCCCATTTAATTCATTGTTTCACTTTTATTACACATAATTATTTATGTGGTGTATGTGTGGGTATGGACTTGTCACAGCACGGGTATGCAGGGGAAGACAGTTAGCAGGAGCTGGTCCTCTCCTTCTACCCCACGTCCTGGGGATTGAACATGCAGCCTGTGTGTGTGTGTGTGTGTGTGTGTGTGTGTGTGTGTGTGTGTGTGTGTGTATGTACAGGTAAGCACATGCTGTGATGAACATGTGGAGGTCAGAGGACAACTTCTGAAGTGAGTCCTCTCCTGCCACCATGTGAGTTACCAGCTTAGAATTTGGTGATCAGGCAAGTGACTGTATCTACCAAGCCATCTTGCCAGTCTGTTTGCATAGTTCAGACTCATATCTGTCTCTCAGGGACCACTGGGGGCTTCTCTAACTTTGCACCATGCATCTCTCTGTCTTCTGAGTGGTTTAATAGCTTTAGTGATTGACATATTGAAGGCTATTGATCAATAAGGACAGAAGCAAGGTCAGAGTTACTTTGCACATACATTGTCATAAGGGAGATTTATGCATTTGGCTAGCCTGCTTGGAGACTTTGGTAATGTCAGAATCAACTTTGTTCATGTGTGAGCAAACTCCTACTTGACATAGAAGCAAGGTGGCTTCATCAGACGCATGGAGAGAATCTTTATGTAACGTTGTCCCAAATATGAAACACTCGGTTACTGATTATATTTTAATCTAGACCAGGAAATGTCAGTTACTGATGCTTGTTTAAAAATGTTTAATGAACTCCAGAAACATATGTCTAATGTTAATATGATTTAAAGGTCTAACTTGGTGTGTAATCAAAGTAGACAGTACAAAATGATTGACATATTACTGTCTCTTAATGTATGATGCAAGTGAGGAACACCACCTACAGCAGTCAGCCATGTACTGCATGAGAAATACTTATTCTGAGCTAGTTTAAAAATTACACCTTGCAAGTGACTAATACTCCATATTGGAAATAGCCCAAAAGTGCCAAATACTGGAATCATTTCCAGATGGCTTATACAGTATTTAAGCATGAAAAAAATTGAATTTTATTTGCAAAGGGTATTAAGTGTGCATTTAGCTAATGCCAATAAAAGGCATCCACTTATTAGTATTAGAAAATATGTTCAAAAGCTAATTCCTAGACAGATTTACAAAATTAAATAATAGTTCAAAAGTTGTGGTAACAAGCACCATGAATCAAAAGTAGGAAATGAAAATAATAAAGCCCTTATAGATAGGAATAAACATGTAATAACAAGCAAATGACAAGTCTCTCAGTTGTGTTGGGACTGACAGACATCAGCTGGATTCTAACATTATACACTTAAAATTCCCACCTTTCAAGAGGGAATAATTTCGTTTTATGTGGAGATGTATTAAAGAGATATAAATGTTTGAGCTGGGGTGTGGGTAACAGAGGCAGGCTGGCCTCATGACAACTCCCATTGTAAGCAGCAAAGGATGTCACCCTCTGAAGTCCCTACCAAGTGGACAGACACTGCCACACTACACTGGAAGTAATGCCTGAGAACATTCAGGTCAGTAATGTCACCGTAAATAATATTTCAGCAAACTCATGTTAGCACAAACCAACATTGATTTTAATTAATTTGGGGACTCAACTAGACATCCTTATATAAACCCCCCACAAATTTATACTCTCACTTTAATAAGAAATGAAAACTGTAAATGTATTATGAATTTTATGAGAACAGCAAAAATTTAAAGAAATGTGAAAAATAAAACCAAAGTTTGAACAACGCACAGCTGGCCCAAGCCTCCCAAGTATCTGGATTTGAGTTCGAGCATTTCATCTCAGACTTCCTGAAATTGCTTTAAACATCCAGCCTCAATAATCAAGCAATTCTATTGATCTGTAACATGGAATTTGATCTCCTTTCTCTGCTGACGGTTTCTCAGAATTCGGGAAAGAGGCAAAGCTATAGACACCACCCTTCACCCTTTTTTCCCAGAGGCCAAGAAACATGCTTGAGTCCCTTTCACATTTTACTGTATTAAAAAAGAGAAGTCTAAAAAAAGCACTTGTGGCCTAGACCATGGAGCAATGATTAAAAAATATGGGCAGAAAAACTGAAAGAACCTCACAGGAATCACTTTCTCATTTAGCTGCTGAAGCCTCAGACAAGGGACATCACCTGCCACCTGGGCCTAAGAATAAGGACCTGGGAATTTCTGATCTTTATTTCAGTACTAAATTTCTTTTTCAAATATCCTCCAAGCTAGAACTCTTGCTCTGGTTATTGATCCAGGAGAAGATCACCTCACTAGAAAATACAATGTTACCTCCAAATCCTAATCAGTCGTCTTCATAGGAAAATAAACAGAGCAAAGCTTGGGAGAGAGAAAAGCAACTTCAGTTGGCATGATACTCAAGCTGTGGTAAAATCTCCCCCAACCTGGAGGCTATGCCATGTACTTGCTTCTTTTACTTGGTTGTAAAATACCCTGAGGAAAGGCAATTTAAGGAAGAAAGGGTTTGTTTGGCTTACAGTTCCAGAGTGGTGGATTCCGTCACGGCAGGAAGCCCTGGCAACAAGTGGGGAAGGCATGGGCAGGCCCAGGGAGACAGCTGGTCACATTTCATCCCCACTCAGGAAACAGAGCAAGAAAGAAGTGGGCCCAGACTACACAACCCCGAAGCCCAACCCCACGGCCCAGTGATGGACCTCAACTTCCTAAAAGTTCCGCAACCTTCACAAGCAGGGTCACCAGGTGGGGACCAGGCGTTCACAACATGCATCTGCAGAGGGCGTTTTATATTCAAACCACAGGTGCAGGGACCAGGTTTCAGATGTGTATACAGCATGACTCTGCACATCTGTGCATGGTGTTGCACATCTGTAGCTTGCCTACGCAACTTAGTGTAACCCCATAAGAAAACAGAAAGGGGCTGGGGCTCTAGTTCCAGGTGGAACGCTTACCCAGCATGCTCAGGGCCCCAGGCTTAATCCCCAGTACTGCAAAAAGGGAAAAGGAAAAATGGTAAATAGTCAATATTTGGAGCATCAAGTCTGGAAGACTGGTTGGCAGCTGCCTCCCTTATGCTTCAATACTACCCAGATATTTTATTATTTTCTACAAACAGCAGCTGCTTGCCGGTATTCATTTTTCAGACCACGTCAGCATCAAGGCAAGTACTAACAATAATAAAATGACTTAAGCATGTGACAAAACATGGCAGAAACCACCTGGAATTTGATGATACTGTAAGTATCATCTTCCAAAACTGCAGTCATTTGCTTTGGGCCAACACCCTCCAAAGATGACTGTGCGTGTCTATAAGGGCAGTATCACACATCATAAGAAGAGCAGACACAATAGCCTACAGCTTTAGCTCCAGCACTCTGGAGGCCAGGATGGAAGAATCAATCACACATTGGGAGCCAGTCTGGGCTACTCTGTCTTTAAACCCAAGCAAACATTAGCCATGTAGTCCTTTGTCTACTATGTGTACACCTGCAAGGTCCCAGGTTCAACCACCACCAAGACCAACCCAAACCATTTCTTAGCTATTGTGAATGAAGAAATGGTAACGGCCCAGCAGGAAACCCGACACCCCCAGTTCCATCAGGTTTGGCTCAGACTGAAGTTCTCACAGCAAACACGAAACTCCAACTTTAATTACAAACTTTATTTGTCCGCCCGGTTCACAGTTTTTACGTGGCGCGTCCCACCATATCAGCTTTCAGAACGGTGATTGAGGAAATGGGTGGTGTAGCTTTCTTTGTAAAGGAGCCCAACTTGCTAAAATTTTGGTTAGAACTTTTGTGGATTTATAAAAGTACTCTCTGCAAGCTAACTGGATATTTACATTTCTAGCTTAAATTCAAATTTTGGAAAATATGAATCTTTGATTTCTTTTTTAAGATCCTGGGTTTATTTCTTAAGACTTTAATCTGAATGCCACCTGTTCACATATGCCCATCCCTCCCCCAAAAGGAAATCAGTTTTGCAATTACATGTAGAGTCATTTTCCTTCTGCACTTTAAAAATTATATATACAGTGTACAGTAGATGTAAGTATGAAAATAAAGGAAAGGGGAGCAGTTTACAAGATGCAGATACTAAAATTTTTCTGAATCTTGAAACAGCCAAAAGAATTATAGGATATAAATTTAAATTAAATGGATTATCAGCCTTCTCTTATCTTAAAAAAAAAATAACTCTGGGGACGTAAATTGTGCTCCTCAGCATTTTCTCTACTGTTAGAGATGATGTAGGTTGGCAGTCAGCATCATTCCATGTGCAAAAGTCACAGTGATCCCCAGTCCAGCATTTGTGCTCACACCAAGTCACCTCGGCAGAGGGACCCTAGGGTGGCTGGGGCTGCACCCCCTCTTCCTGGGCACCACTCCACCCTACAATTTGGCAAGAACCACTCAAGAAAAGAAAAGGGTGTAAGCCTTCTGTACCTCATGGGCTATTCCAAGCTGGCAGTGAGCTATTTACTAGCAAATACACATCCATGGCTTTGTTATTTTCTTTTCATCAGAATGAATTCATACCAACTGTTTGAAATCACCTTGTGATATCAGTTGGGACAGCTTTCTTCTATTAAATCACTCAGATTATAGATGTACGTGCTCACTTCTTCTGCCTTTAAAAATGACTAGTTGTTAATAAATGATAAACTCCAAATACTGCCAGGAAAAGGGGGGCTGTGTAGAAGCAGCCGATGTTACCGGCCTGGTAATTATTACTCTGTACATATATATAGATGTACCATTGGTACCCCAGTCAAATAAATACTCAGAGGGCCTTCTCTGACCTCCCTTCTCTGTGGTCCTTGTGACGCCAGAGCTCCTGAGTGTTGCTGCTGTGCCTGTGGTGGGCATCTCTTTCTCCTGTCAAGCTACACATCGCTTCCAGCAGGGTACAGTATGCGGGGGTGGGGTGGGGTGGGGGTGGGGGGGGTGAGAATAAGAATCAGCAGAGGTCAGCCTAGGGTGGGGGCAGGGAGGGGAAACCACAAGCCCACTAGAGAGGGTCCTGTTTCTTCGTAAGTTAAGGCACTGACAGAAAATTTCTTAGGTAAAAGGCTGCATAAGAATTTCTTGCCATTTACAAAAAGAAATGTTGTCATCCCTAAGTGGTCCATATCCAGGCTCAGTTAGGTGAACCCTGAAAAGTCAAGGGCTGATCCCTCCAAGCTACATGGCTACCAAAGCATTCCAATTCATTCAGAGGCCTTATGGCACGTTAGGAAAAAGGGGGAGGGAAACAGTCTGGGCACGAAAAGGCATCGGACACTGCCTGTCCATCACTCGCCACTCAGTGGACGGCTCACAAGCCTCCCCAGAGTGCTGCCTCAGGACTCCACACTCCCTGGATGTAAGGTGACCAGTTGGGTGTATCTAGTGGCTTTTCCTTTCAGCTCTGTCATGCACAATGTTTAAATGCTACCAGCAACAGTCACAAAGAGCCTAGAGAAGCCCTCCCCGATGGCTACACCTCAGACTCTTCCAGAAGGGAGCTACTTCATGTTCTCAATGACAGCTATCTCTTCACCAGCACACCGAGGGGTCAGGCCATTCAGATAGATGCTCTCAGCCTTCAGCAAGGGAGGCAAGACTTCCCTGTCACTGGTCAGGTGGTTCACGGACAGGGTTCTCCTACAAGGAGTCAGTTCCTGGCTGTGGTTCGCGGCCAGCTCTGCGGAGAGCTTCCGTTTCACGGATGTGGCCCGCTGGAACTTGTCATAGATCTCCACGCTCAGCCGCCTCCGTGTCTCCTTGAACTCGGCTGTGACGTTGGCTGTCCATTCAGCGGCGTGTGCTCTGAACTCTCCCACCTGGAGTGTAGGGGCCAAGAAGAGAGAGGAAGCCATCAACACGGGGAGCTACATCTTGTGTAGTTCTTGTTTTATTGGGGGGGGGGGGGTTACTGAGAAGGTGTCTGTGTTCTGATAGTGACTGTGGGTAGCAGCCATACAGACAGACAAGAGTCAAATTCTTACAGAAAGGGCTCTAAAATATTATGAACATAAACATGAGGAATAAAATTATATTTCTAAGGCTCTAGACACACTTATATTTTTTTATGCAAGAGTCTGCCATAGAAATATCAAATGCTAAGTCAGGTGCAGTAGGGAACATGTGACTTGTATTCCCAGAACTGGGGAGTCTGAGACAGGTGGATCCTTAAGGCTTACTAGCCAGCCTAATCTAGCTCTGGGCCAGTGAGACACTGTTTCAAAAATGAATAAATGAATGAATGAATGAATGAATGTGGACGCCACCTAAGGAACATCTGAGATTCACCTCAGGCCTCCACACCTGTGCATACATACACATACAAAGACATTTCAAATGTTATAAAAAGGAAATCTCTTAACATCTCCCCAAATCTTTGGGGTACTGTCTATTAGTGTCATCTGCCTGTAGTCTCAGGGACTTGGGTGTAGAACAGGTCACTGCAGAGGCAGCAGTGCTGAGGAAGAGTCTGGAACGTTAGCCCCAGTGACTTGGGTGCAGCTGTGAGCTTGGGATGCAACCTACGGTTTACAGCTCAGAAACACTGCTCAGCCTTTGTATCCAACCTTGTGTTGCCACTTAGGAATCCTCAGCGGTGCCGAAATGAGCAAGAGGGTACGTCAGTTCTGCATTGGGGAGAGCAAAGAGGTGAAAACCAGCATGCCTACTCTGAGATTGGCTTGAAGAACCGTACGGCTCAGGGCAATTCCCTCAATGGGTGCCTGCAGAGGTCATCTGACCCGCCTGACCCACTGGCCAGCAGGGACGCCGGTGTCAACCTAGCTGCACGGCTGAGGCTGTGAATGTCACCAACCACAAAGACCCTATCTTAAGGGTGAACCGTTCTCTTCTGATGGTGAAACGCCTCCTAAGTTCTAAGCACCTACAAACCAAAGACCCCACTACATAACCTAAGCCACTTACAAGTCTTTGAAAACTATATGTGCATGCTTGTGTCCTAAAGTAATAGAGAAAGGACCAATCTTTGAGGGACTCTGCGATCTCCTCCTGGACTAGCCAAGTTTTATCATAGGGAATATTTTTGTATGTGTGTGTGGTGGGGGGGTCCCTAATAGGAAGCTGTTTCTGCATTTACCCTCACCTTCCTGGATGGTCACTTAGGCCTTGTGAGACTTTGGTTCTCTTGCTTGGCAAACAAATAACAGTTCTGTTTCACTCTGTTTTTAGCTGTTGATTTGTGTTTTCAACACTGACATGGGAAAAGTAATTGATGGTTTCTAAATTTCCATGCATTTCTGGATAAGGATGGTGTGGTGAAATTTTGCTTGTGCTCTAACAAATAAAGCTTGCCTGGAGATCAGAGTGCAGAGCTAGCCACTGGAGGCCAGGCAGTGGTGGCACACATCTTTAATCCCAGAACTTGGGAGGAGGAAACAGGAAGTGATATGGCTGGGCAGAGAGAAGTGATAAGGCAGGGTGGAGACAGGAGTTTGGCCCTTTTGGTTTGAGGATTCAGTAGAGGTAAGACATTTTTCTAGTGGCTGCTCCTTTACTCCTCTGCTCTTTCAGCATTTACCCTGAGATCTGACTCCAGGTTTTTATTATTAAGACCAATTAGAATTCACGCTACAAATGGATATAGATTTTTTTTCTTTTTTTTAGAATCTGACAGGTGTGTGTACCTGGCCATCGATAATGATGTGTACGTGGGCACAAACATCACAGGAACATCAAATGTCCTCTGTGTGGCAAACGGTAGGGGGCTCTCTTCCCACACTTGAAGAGGTCTTTAATTTCCTATTTGTGTTGTTCTAGCATCTATAGCACATCCCCTCCCTCCAAGGCATGGGAAGGGGTGGAAAGACTGTAAGAGCTGGGGGAGTGGGTACCTAAAGCATAACAGTATGTGCAGAGTATGGGGGCCCTTTGCATATAGAACTCAGCAGCTGGGACTGCCCGCACAAGACCCACAGCACATGGTCAAGGCAGCCCAAACCCCAGCATGGAGCAGGGAGGAACTCAGAGTTCTGTCCTTAACTCAGAGCTATTAGCGATTGGTGGCTGCTGGGTGAATAGGGGGAGAGTCAACTTCCTCCATGGATGTGTTCCCCTCCCCCACCCAGAGGCTATCCATGCTCCAATAGATGGGTCCTATACCCATGTACATACAAGCAACACTAAATGGACTTAGTGTGTTTAAACAAAAGAGCACATGATATTGGGGGTGGGGAAGTACTGGGATGGATGGGGAGAAAACAGAGAGTGGGCTTAATCAAAACATAATACATGCATGAATGATTATGAAATAAAATGTTTTAGAAAGGAAGTGATTGGTCACTATCTTGGCCTGCTCCTGGTGAGGGAAAAAGCTAAGCTGGCCAGGGGAGAACTCTGGGACACCAAGTGAGATCAAATGTATGGCTACCCCTGAGGCAGCTTAGTGCTCCCAAGGCAAGCTAAGAATGCAGTTGAACCCACAGAAATCCACAAAGATACCCCACAATAGACTGCTGACAACGGTCAAGAGACAGCCCGAACTGACCTACTCTGGTGATAGTATGGCCAAACACCCTAATTGTCATCCAACGACTGAGGGAACCGGATGCAGAGATCCATGGCCAGGCCCCAGGTGGAACTCCAGGAGTCCAATTGGTGAGAAAGAGGAGGGTTTGTATGAGCGAGAATTTTTGAGACCAAGGTTGGATAAAGCACAGGGACAAAGAGCCAAACGAATGGAAACACATGACTATGAACCAATAGCTGAGGAGGCCCCAACTGGATCAGGCCCTCTGAATAAGTGAGACAGTTGATTGGCTTGATCTGTTTGGGAGGCATCCAGGCAGTGGGACCAAGTCCTGTGCTCATTGCATGAGTTGGCTGTTTGAAACCTGGGGCTTATACAGGGACACTTGGCTCAGCCTGGTAGGAGGGGACTGAACCTGCCTGGACTGAATCTACCAGGTTGAACTTAATCCTCAGGGGAATCATTGCCCTGGAGGAGATGGGAATGGGGGGTGACCTGGGGGAAAGGTGGGGG